TTGTAGGGTAGAAATATTTGAGTGTTTGCAATGGAAATGTGTGCATACATGTGTACATAATGGGGTGGATTATAAGATTTGCTCAGCATGAACTTCAGCATTTCCAACTGTGTAACCTGAGCAAGTTGGGAAGATGTGCAGATTTAATTACCCTGTAAATCTATTAGCTCTGAATTTCCTGGCATTTGTTTTGCTTATGACACAAGCTGTATGTTATTCACTTAGTGGATTTCTTAAAATCTGTCCACTTTTTTTTTAGTGCTTAAAGTGAGTAAATGCTGGTGTGAGAGTCCAAACAATTGTGTCTGCTCTTACAGTGGAACTCATTGCTGGTTTCAAATACCAGTTTTGTGTTACTCTTCATATTCTCCCCCAAATGAGGGAATTTCAGTATAGTTACTGAGGAGACATTAAATGATTTTACAGTATAATAAAGACATAAACCTAGGCTGTTTGTACCTACAGATGGATGGTGGGATTAATTTTTTTTGAGTACCTGACAGTTCCTCCTGCAGAGGGGTGACAGATCCCTTCAGATGGGGAGATTTTGGGGTGAGCCAGGAGGGAGCCACTAACACCCAGGAGGGTGGTATCTTGAATTGGTGGGTGTTCATAACCCTGGCATGTTGCATGGTTGCCTTGCCCTGGTCTGCTGGGAGAGCTGGGCTTGTTTTGCAGTGTGCAAAAGGTGCTGTCACTGCAGCCCCTCTCTGGCATGGCTCTGCTGGAAAAGGTGGGATTGTGCTGCTTCAATTGGTGTGTGGCACTTGCAGCTGATGCAGTGCGTTTTCCAGGCTCAGCAAAGCCTGCTACTTGTTTAAAAATTTAAATATTATTGGGAGGTGTCATTTTGGGCTCTTGACTTTTCTGCACTCCTTTTTTAATGAGTTCTTAGAAAGTCAGTTTTCTGAAGATGACTTTAATTTTTAGGCATGGTAGTGTCGTCTTCAAGCAACCAACTGGGCTGGTGCTGCTCTCCTCTGGCTTCAGGTCAGCTGGTGGAGAAGCCAGCACTGCCATGCACCTAGCAAAACCTGAGTGCTTTGCTTCACAGACCTTCATTTGATCAGACAAGAAGTAAAAAAGCCCCTGGTCCCTGAGGCAGCTGGAGAAAAGGGCCTTTGTGTGGCAGGAAGGGGCAGATGCTGTGCAGAGCTGCCGCCCGCGGCACAGCTGGTGCGCAGCCAAGTGCTCCTTTCCAAGAGCTGCCCAAAAATCCCCTGTGCACCCGGATGTGGTAGCTTTCCTGTGTTTGCTCACTGCAGCAGCATGGCTGGAGTTGTTTGTGTTCCCAAAAACACCCAGGATGTAGGCACGAGCCAGTGTCCAGGCAGATGAGTGCTGAAACTCCTCAGGGCTGCCTTTCCTTCCTGTGTGTAAACAGGAGTGCTGCTGTTTTGTTTTTCTGTTCAGGGTTCTGGGGGAAAGGGGAGGTGGAAGATAGTTACATCTGTCCTAAATCCCTGACTTTTTACAGAGGTTAAAATCCTAGCTGAACACATCTCTTTGCTATGTGGTGAGAACAGTTTAATAATTCAAACAGACTCCTTGTACTAACACATGTCTGCAATTAGTGCTGGGGCTGCCAGTGGGGTGTGAGGATAGCAGGAATCTGGCAGCTGAGCTGTCTGCAGAGGTATTAAGAACAAAAAGGGAAAAGAAGAAAAACAAAAGGCAGATTCTCAGTGCAAGTGCTCTTTCCTCTGTTTTTTAAATTTTTGTAAAGGTGAACTCTCTTGGTCAAAGATGCACAGCTGAAAGCTGTAGACAAATAATTTCTTTCTTTTGCAAGCAAATTTATCTACAAGTTCTAAGGGTCAAAGTCTCAGTTTCCTTCCCAAATTGCCCTTTCGTGTTCCTGAGCACAAGGGAGGTTGCTACTGTGTCAGAATTGAGGGTTGGTTATTCTGGGGCTTTCCAGCTATGGAAGTGGCTGATGACTGCTGAGGTGCCTGTGGAAACAGAGAGGAGGAGGAGAAGGGGTGGCAGTGGGAGAATGTGCTTTGAAAAGAGAAGGAACAGCTTAGGTGGAGGTGGAAGTTTTGGGGAGCAAGAGGTCTGGCTGCCCCCAGACGGTTTCTGCTTTAGCTGCTGCTCAGATGCCTTTTCTTCTTTAGTTCTCTAAGCAAACATTCAATGAGACAATTGTTTTATTTGGGACAAAAAGTGATCTAGCTTTAAGCATTCACTGTAGTAGAGAAGTGTATCACATCTGAAAAATTCCTGTAAATCAAGGAGCCTGTGATTTTTTAAATCAATTTTTTAAATCATCCCTAAAATGGTCTGTTTGCTGAGTTCAGTAGCTGCACAGTCTGACCTGTGGCAGTCTCTATTGGCCAGTGTACAATGTTACATCACAGAACATTAAAAATAAACTTGATACTTATAATGAAACTAGAAAACCATTTTAGGAACCAACCATTTATTTGCTCTCAGATAATTCTATTATAAATGCATATTCTTTTCTTGCTCACAGCTTGCTGCTTTGCAGCTGCACGTGAAAAGGAGAAAGCACAAATATTGACAAATGTGTTTAACAGCCTTCCCCTCCTTGAGGTCCTCTTTCTCTCTGATTTTCTGAAGTTGAATGTTTGTTTCCTCCTTTGCCTTTCCTGAAGTGGTTTGAGTAAAATTCCCCATTCAGAAAGGAGAAAAAATAAGTAAAATCTGATGGGCCTAACTTCAGTCAAATGGAAAAGTAAAATAACATTTGATAAGATTTCATTCCATATCAAAGTAGTAATAGGCAGAAGGCTGATAAAAATCACTATTTGTGAATTTGCCAAAAATAGCTGAGTAGCCTGTGACCATGTTTCTTTAAGCTGAGTCTGTTAAATTATAGCATCTAAATAGTGAGACTAAGTCAACACATAGGTATGATGTTTTCAAAGATGACATCCTGAAATTGGATGATGCTGGTGGTAAAGCAGCTGCATGTGGAACCATGGTACAAATACTGCAATAGCCATATTCCAGCATCTGCTACTCATCAGTCAGAGTAATGCATGCAAGAATTAGAATGAAGGAAATGCTCCAGCTTTAGGAAAATATGTAAACAAATATAATTGACTCTTGCCATTGCTCCAAATGAAAAGAAATGTGTAGACTGGGGGGAGAAGCATTGTCCCTAAGAAAGGCACTGCTTTTTTATAGGCTCATCCTTGACTTCTTCCCTGGATGGAAAGTATTTCTGTGCCTTGTTTACACATTAATGGCTGCCTGCCCTGTTTTATTCAGTGTCTTTATTGATGTACCAGGATGTTCAACTACTCTTGTACATCCTTTTTCTTTTTTCTTTGCATAGTGGGCTGTTGTAGTTTATATCCTTATTGGGGAAGCACCTGGTTGTGAAGTGCTAGTGAGTTGTTGGGTATGAAAATTAAAATAAACGAGGCTTTCTAAGGTGGTCACAACCTTCTTGCAGAGTCCTCTAAGAGTTTATTAGTTTATGACTTAAAGTAAATATGAGCCACAAATCTGTTTTGCCATTTGTAAAGGCTTTTCTTGAGCTAGTTTGTAATTCCAGCATAGCAGCTGTGGTCCTCTGTTTATTGCCTTGTATTCAGTCAATATTTTCTTTTCCTCATTGTCGGTCAGAATTGACTCAAGACTTACTGATTTTGAAAAAAGGCACAGTTAGCATTTGGAGGAGGTGCTTGAACATCCAGGAGCTCTGTGAGAGCCAGCTGTGCTCAGGGTTTTCAGCATGAGGCTTCAAGGCCACAGGTGCTGCTGGAGCTGTGAAATGTGAGGGTGTGAGCACACTGCTTCCCTTGTGGGTTTGCACAATATTGACTTGTTTAATTCTCAATTTAGCCTACAGGAAGCTGAATCTTGAATTTCAGTGTTTGTTTCTGCAGGAGAGAGCACGATGAAGAGCCAAGATCAATACTGCTTGCAAAAACTAAACAGATCAAACAAACTTGGACTTTTATAGCATCGTGCCTGAGCTGACAAAGATTCCTATATAAGATGCTAGATAATGGCTCATTGTTCAGAAAATCTCATTAAAATTCACTATGCAAGTATTTTTATCCAAAAATAGAATTCTTTGTGTCAATGAGATGAATAGGAATGATTTGTTGCAGTGCAGATTTTTCATCTGTCTAAGATGTAGTTTTCTGATATTGGAAGGAAGATGAAGAGACAGAGTTTTTGGCTATTGATGGGAACTGCATTGGAGTTGGGAGGAAATAGATTGCAAGGTTTGGTTTGTGCTCATTTTGAATAATAAACAAACATGGAATTACTCTGCTGCATACAGATCTAACATGTGCTGCTGGTGTAAGGAATTCAGTGCAATAGACAAAGTGGTAATTAGTACTGGCTGTCAGGAGCTTTAGCTCTGGGGCCTAGAAGCTGGATATGGGCTCTAGGTGGAATGCTACTTCTAAAATAGATACATAAATCAACCAGGAAACCCATTTTATAGCAAATGTGTTAATTGCTTGGCTGTGGATGTGCACGGACTCGTTTTCCTGGAGCACACGGAGTGTTCTGCACAGCTAAAACAGTCATATGTGGTGTCAATCTGTGCTGGAATGTGTTTCATTTTTCTTCTGTGCTTCAGTGAACATTAACCCCCTACATTCTATTCCATAGACAATATGTTCTGGTGATAGATCCTGCAGGATCTTTCACTCTGTCTGAGGGAGATATGCTTTCCCATTTTCCCCACTATGGTACACTGTAGTGAGTACCTTTGGTGTGGCAGGAGGAGACTGCTTCAGGACATGAGTACCATGCTTCCATTTGTGTTGCAGTTCAATGAGAGGCTCTTCTGTTGCAATGCATGCCTCTGAGAGGACTTTTGTTCTAGCTGTAGCTCTTCAGCTTGAAGCAGTGGTTGGAGGAGGAGGTTGTTAGACAGGGCTGGTAGATCCTGCTGCTGACTGGCACGGATGACCAGGGCACATATAGAATTGTTCTCATCTATTCCCTCCTGGAGATGGCATGACAGGCAAGGAGATAAACTTTCCCCTGCTTTTTTGTCTCCACAGCACTTCACAGAGTTCCTGGATGAATTTTCACCTGATGTCCTAGGCCAGCTGTTGAATGATCCCTTCTTGTCTGAGAAGAATGAAATCATGGAGGTGGAACTGTCCCCAGCATCGCCAGCACCCCTCATCCAGGCTGAGCACAGCTATTCCCTCTGTGGGGACTCCCGACCCCAGTCTCCCCTGACCCACATCTCCACTGATGACAACTTCAATGAAGGTACAGCACACTGAGCCCAAGTTCTTTTGTTGTGATGATGCAGTAATGAAATGCTCCTGGTGGAACTGTGGCTGTGGAAAATGGTGATGCATAGAAATTGATGAAAACCCACAGCATTTTTAACAGCTACCTGTAATTCAGCAGTTATAAACTGCTGGAGAGGAAAAAGGAGAAAGGCAAAAATGGTGGGAGGAGGAGATCCAACCTTCTTGTTCTGGTATGAAGTGGTTGGTGGAGGAGCAAGACCATGAATATCTGGTAACTACAAGGAATAATTGCAATGCCAGACTCCTAAAAATTGGTTTATCTTCACCATTAGCTTTACAGTACAAAGCAGTGGGGTGTTAAGCTGCATTAGAATAAAAGGGAGAGAGATTAGTGTTTTTGGCTAAGCATTGACCAGCTAAACTGTTTGTGAAGATCCACTAGACAGGTCTTCAAAGACTGACAGTTTTGTAGTCCAAAATCTTCGGTTGGAGCAAGATGAAATCTTTTAGAGATTTGACTAGAGGACAACTAATAAAACCTGTGAGAAGGATTTTTCAATGTGAGACAGGATTTTTGGAAATAATTGGGAAATACAATCTACAGAAAGTTTTCAATTTTTCTATTTCCTAGCTGTTTTATAGGAATATTTTTAAATTAACACACACAGGAGATATTAATTGATGAAGGGAAAGCAAGCACAAGGAACATCAGAAACCAAGCTTTTCTGGAAGTTAAGTTAGGGAGAGGTTTCAAATTAGGCTAAAAGTGAGGGGAGTTTCCTTTGGGGAAAATTCCTGAAGAAATTCATACTGCTGAGACCACTGTAATAGAGCTGTAGTCAAATGATGTTTTAAAAAGCCAAGAAACATTAACAAGTGGGTTTAAAAATAGAAAATGAATGGAAAACATTTCATCTTATGTTCACTCTGCAGAGTGTTTCATAAGAGAGGAGGAGGAGTTGTTCTTGGTGTTTGGGATTTTATTTAATCCTAACCCCAGAATCATGCTCATGACCATTCTGCACCTGTTGACTTCAAAAGAGTGAAGCTCAGAGAATTACTTAAGGAAATTGCAGTATTAGAGTGAACCTGGCTGTCTGATAGATATTCAAAGGCATCACCCTGATGATTTTCCATTCCTTGAATCTGTGAGAGCAGGAAAAGAGGATTTTGTGGATGGCAGTAGCAAAAAAGGCACATTTATTTCTGGACTTTGATATATATAGAATTCCAAAAGTGACCATGGCTTGGAGGATCAAATTGCCAGTTCTCCAACCACACTGGTCAAACCAACAGTCCATCAATTCTCTCTTCCTTCAGAAAGGAATGCAAAACAATCATTATCTACATGAAAAGTGCATGAGAAACTCCATTACAAAAATGTAAGCATCAAAAAGCTTAGAAAAACTTTAAAAGAACAGAGCAACACCCCCTGCCCCAAGTCTTCCACCACCTTTTTGAAAATGTTTAGTGTTTCCTCTCAGCCAATGTTATTTAATGTTTCATTTCAGCCATTATGGTGGAGTAATTGGTTGCTCTGATTCCATTTTCCTGCCCTCTGCAGCAGGGGAATGAGTAATTTCTGCTGGGAGCTGTTTCTTGCTGGCCTATGCTTAGCCATTACCGTAATTTCTGCAACTGCTGAATTGACCTATTCCTGTAATTGTAAATTTTACATAAAGTTTTTTCTAAAAAGAGCTAGAACTGTAAAACTTTGGAAACTCATAAGTTTGGGTTTAACTTTTCCGAGAAGTCCTGTTAAGTTCAAGGTGAGCACACATTTAAGTGTCCATAAAGTCAAGGTCCAAACACTGGTTTTCCCCATTTACTCTTCTGACTTCACTGTATTGAGGCCATTTCCCAAGCTTTGTACAGAATAACGTTTTGGAATACTTGCAGCCTGTTGCTAGTGTGGGCTCTCTGAAGGTATCAATTTTAAAGCACATGTGTACAAGACATCTGGCATTTAATGTATTACTTGGTTTCTTCCCATGATGAGAATCTATTCTTAGATTCAGTTTTGCATAAAAGATATTAAAATTACTACTTTAAAACCTTTGCATAAAAAATTTTAAAGATACTGGAGGGAGAGACATTTCCAGGCTTGACCTGCCTGGTTGCAGCAGGCTGATCACTTTCGTTTGCCTGAAGTGGTGAATAAGGCATATGGGGAGGGCTTCAGGCTGCAGCATGAAAAAGGAGGCTGTGTCCTGTGTACAAACTGTCCACACCAGCTGCACTGCCACCTCTCTCCCACCAGCTTTCTGCTTTCTAGTTTTGGGCCCTGAGGTTTCTGAAACAACTGCAGAGTGGCTGTGGAGAAGGACAGTGGGTAGCTGTGGAGTGGAAAATGCTCTTGAAAGGACATGAAGAAGCTGGGAGTAGGGCTGATGGGTAAGGGACATCTCATCTCAGCCTGTTGGGGCACAGAGTAATTTCTGACAGCTGTAAAGAAATAGGGAAAGAAGCCTGATTTTCTGTTGTGGTTGGGGCCGGTTTGTCTTCAGTTTTCCAGTCTCTGCAGCCTTCTAGAAAGGGAGGGCTGTGGGTCAGACAGCCAGGAGCAGGGCAAGACCCCAGTTTCAGCAGGCACTAGGGTTATTCTTGTGACTAACAGGCTCAAGAGTGTAGGCTCTTTCCCTGCCCTCCCATGATTGATCTTGTTAGCTGTGGGCAAAACTTTGGGATTGTGCTGTCCCTTGTTTTGGGCATGTGAGATGCCTGGATGACAGAGCCTGCAGCATCTCTGTGGGGCTCCTCATCCTCTGAGATCAGTTCAAGTGCTGGGAGTGTGTTGTGGTGGGTGTGTATTTGATTTTCCTGCTGTTTTTCACTTTGTGAGCCTGGCAGGGCAGAGCCAATGGACACTGGCCAGTCACTTGGGTGCTGTGTCTCAGATTGTGCCCAGGTTGCTGGGTTCATTCCTTCCCCAGTCCCTGCAGGGCTCTGCTTTTGGGGCTGGTCTGGGTCCCCACCTGCCCCTCCTGTTGGTGCTTTCCTGCTCAGGAATGCTTTGAAATTACTTTTGGATGTGAAGAGGCTTGTCTTGGCTGAAGGTTTGACAGACTGATTGCTGAAATGGTGTGTTTGTGTTTTACTCCTAGCTGTGCCAAAACTGGGGCTGGCCCCAGACTGTAACCTGTATTGTTACTGGGTTTTTTACTGCTGAGGTTATGATTTTCTGTAATGTGCTTTTAAAACTCGAATTTTCTTTTTCAACTTCTAAACTTCAAGTCCATCTCCATACATAGTTTGAAAAACATAAACAAATAAGAAAAACCCAAGCAAAACTCCCAACACCATGGCTCCCACTTTTCTCCCTTCAACAATAAATCCATCCCTCATCTCAGGCAGGGCTATGAAAAACCCTTGCTTAGGTATGGCAGTCACAAGCAGTAATCAGTGTCATGTGCTGTTTCTGCATAGAGGCACCTCTGGGCTTGAGCCTCAGGTTGGTCTTCATGTGTTTTATTTGTATCCATGTGTGTGCATGCATTTAATGTATATGTGAGTCATAAGAGTTTTATTATTTGTATTAGGTTATATTACACATCCTAATTTATTTTCTGTATATAGAGAGGTACAATGTCCTGCTACTGCCTGTTTTTGTCCAAATACTGAATCTATGTAGTGTGAACAATGAAATTGGAAATTGCTGCTGCCCGGACTTTAAAGAAAACAAAAATGAAAGAAGAAATTCACTTGTGCTTTCAAAAGTTGCTGTCAAAACCATACTGGTAATTTTTTTAGGGCATATTCCTGCAACTTGTTTTCTGTGTCTTTTTTTTTTCTTTTGTGTGTTTATTTAGGAAATGAGGAGAAAGCCATTTAGTGGGAGTGGCCTGTGTTTGTATTGATTTTTATGTGGAAAGGTAGCAGTCAGTCCTTGTCACCATCTGCAGTGTTCAAGTCATAGAAACATAGAATACTCTGTGTTGGAAGGGACCCATCAGGACCATCAAGTCCAGTTCCTGGCCCTGCACAGGACACCTCAAGAATCACACCATGTACCTGAAAGCATTGCTCTGTATGAGAACAACTAAATTCATACCACAGTATGAGAAGATTTTTGAACTTCTGTATATCCGGGGTCCACAGTCTCAACAGATCACTCTGAATCAACCCTGTAACTCCTACTTGAGCAGCAGCATGTCTGAAAAATGCTAGTTTTGATTTAGAGGTGGGCGTTTACTTATGGTTACTGTTAATTGTCGGCTTTATTTGCAGTCTGGCCTCCAGTTCCACACAGACGAGATCTCATTATAGCCTTTGTTTCTTTTACAGAACCATCTGCTCTCTGAAACTTCTTTTCCTAGGTGTTTGTAGGCTGTGATTAAGTTCTCTCTTGACTGCTGCTTGGATACAGTCTAAATGAACTGCACTTCCTTGGTGTTTCCCCTTAGGTGGAATCTTCTGGACCTTCACCTGTTGCTGTGCCTTTCTCAATACAGGGACCTTTGTAGTTTCTTTTTCAAACTCTTTGTCAAGTGACTACAGGAAATGATTTCCCAGGAATAGTTTCCCTGATGTTGCGTGTTACAGGAATACTCCTCCCACTTCCAGTCCTGCTGTTTGTTAAATCAGTGATCTCATTTTTTCTGTACTGTTGCACTGACAGCTTGTGCTCAGTTAGTTATGTACTGTGAACATCATGTCCATTTTCACGTGTGTTGAAGCCTTAATACAGATCTTAATACAATTTTTCTCCTCCCACCCCATACAGCATCCATGGTGCTTCTATGGATAACGTTCTCATACTTGAAAAGAAAAAAAATCATAATCTTTTATAGGATATTTAATGTTATCCAACTTTAAGGCTGTAAATCCAGCTACTACCTCAGTCTGTGCCTGATTCCCATATATATAAATATGATTGATTTTTGTTTCTATCTTAATAACTTTGATAGTTATGCAGATTATCTGTGGGTTTTACATGGACCCCATGCTGGTCAAAGAGGGGATGCTGGTATGAACGATGATCATTTGTTATGAGAAAAGCTGTTTCTGCTGTGT